GCTAAACTGGCTGGTAAGGCCGCCGAAGCCCTGCCCGGCATCCTGGGTAGCATCGTCTCGTGGCTGCTGGGCGCTCTGGCTAAAACTGCCACGTGGCTCAGTCAAAACCTATGGGCAGCCATCGTCGCCGTGGCGGGTTTGGTGTACGTAGCGGCTAAGGAATTTTTAACCAAATGAGTCCCAAAGCTACCCCACCAACCACCATAGCTGTTTTACGATCGATGTGTGGGGGTGAACCCACAGGGGGTGACCCCACAGGGTGTGTGGGTTGTACCCTAGGCTCCGGGGGTGGCGCCACTATACCCGTTTCACCGGTCGTGGGTGGTTGGACGTGGGGGACGTTGACATCGAGGTTGACACCCAACTTTTGGTCCCCCGTGGCTATGACTATTTCGTTGTTGTAGCCCACCACTTTTTTTATTCTCAGTTGCATATCGCTCGGAGCCATGTACAACCCCACGTCGAACACGTAGTCGACTTTCGACCTGGCATATTCCAACACGCCTTGGTAGCGTTTGATGGCACTCGGAGATCAACTGGAGCATTGATAGCATCCTCAACGCTGACAACGAACTGTTTCTGAGCCGCCGTAAGCAGTCCCCTTTACCTAGGATATTGGAACGCTTTTGCGTCTGGCGCACCTAACAGCCCACGCACGCTCGAATCGAAGTCGCTTAACCTGATTACCCCGCACGAAAGTGAACCCTTTCGACGCGTCCAGCATGAACTTTTTCCAGTCATCCGCTGCCCCTGCTCGAACCTCCAGACTCGGTAATCCTTGCTGTCGCCGAATGCCATGTAACGGTCATCCCACTCGCTCGCTGTGAGGTGATGATACGACTTTGTATCCCCATTCTTTCAACTTCTCGCTGGCATCCACGAGGTGCATGTTGTGAACGATGGGGATACCCAACCCGCGGTTCGGGCCCGCAAACGCCAATCCGTCTTCGGGTTTAGTTCAAATTCGCTGCAAATACGCTCAGAGGCCCGCCTATCGTCGCACTGGTTGTTTACTCGCGCTCCACGCCTTTGTCCTGTGGGAGCGGGGCGCTGATCTCTTTGAGGATACGCCTGACCTGGTAGTACACGTGAAACGTGAACACAGACTGACTCAGCGGTCCACGCCAAGTGTCAGTCAATGTCACACCACACCCCGTTGTAGCGCACCACACGGCGAAGTTGAGTTGATTCTGCCAGAACTGCATCGGTTTGTTGAACCAAGCGTGAACTACCTTAGCGTTAGTCACCGAAAACTTATACTTATCAAACACATCTATGAACTGGGCGTCGAATTACAACCCGGCAGCGACCACGATCTTCATGTGGGGGAAATCTACCTCCAGTTTAGAGTAAAACACTCCAGGGGAATACATTTTAAAACTATTATATAATGAGCATATATACTCTAACATGTACATAACACTTCCAGGAATAACGAGCGGTGAGGCCGTTCAGCTGACGCACGCGATCGATAACACGTCGGGTCAACTCGAAGTCGCACTGTGCGATATCACCTACCTACCGCGATGGACTAACATCAACGCTAGCAACAATAAACTGTTCGTAGGTGGCGCTCGCAACCAGATAACTGACGGCTACTACAGCGTGTGCTCTCTAAGCGATGAGGTCTTCAAACCCCTGGGAGCCGAACTCAAGATGAACCACTCAAACGGCACAGTGGTGTTAATCAACAACGGAAGAAACCCCTTGAGACTCAGCCGACCATTGGCGAGGACACTCGGTATGCAGCCTGACGAGATAAAACCAACGACTACCACCACAGGCACTAAGTTACCCGGCCTAGTACCGCATCGAGAGCTGTGCATTCATCTCAGCCAGGTTAGCACAACTGACAACATTCAAGGGGGTCACCCTTCCACTATACTGAGAGCCGTACCGGTGAAAACGGAGAAATACAACGACGGTAGAACTGAGTCGTTTTCACCTCGGCAGTATAAGAGGTTAACCCAGGGCAACATCCCTGAGCTGATAATATCGGTGTTAGATATAAATCATAATCTCGTGAATATAGGATACCTCAGCATAACGCTGCACATAAAATGACCAGCACACAAGGTCCTGGAATGAAGTTGAAAAATTGCATCAATGTGGGGATCTCCGACCTCGGGGACACACGCGCATTCGACGACCCCGGAGTAGATGGTACATTGTATGCTTTGCAACTGAAAACAGCATTTACAAACGCAGCGTTGAAGTCCCTCCAATGGTGGTACTAGCAACCTAAGTGATATAGTAGATACCTCAAGAGCGGTTGTCAACACTCGGTACACCCTAGTCCGCACCGGTGATGATAAATGGATGATATACCCATCGTTCGGGGGCAAACTGTTCGACTTAACCGATGTTGATAGCACTACCGTCGCCCGAAATAAGCCATATACACTCGTCTTCACCGATGATGACAAGTGGGTGTTGTTATCCGATAAAGCCGACTGGTTTCTCAATATTAGGCTCGGCTCCCCCTATGTGTTCACGGATAACAAAGACAACCACCTAAACAAAGTCGTGAACAACGGAACCCTGCTCGTGGCTTACGTCCCGACTCAGAGACGTAGCGTAGTCATCAGCCCACTCGCCAGTATGGCAGCCCACATGCTATCGAGTAAAGCGGGCATGCAAAACGTGGTATTGCAGTTGGTGTCTGAATTCGAAGGCGTGGTCAATATCCTGGAGAGTCTACCAGCGAACTCAACACTGGTCATCCAAGTCTACCTAGGGGAACCTTCGCAGGATGATGTCGAAATCGTGAAGGGGATCAAACTCCGTTGGGGGAAACAACAACAGTATCACGTTTGCAACGTTTACGTGCGGGTGGGTGTCAACTCCAAAACCAGTCTGCAGGGTGTCACAGTGATCGTGGAAGACACGATATCATTAACCAAGATATTCCTACCCGGCAACATACACTTCATGGGGGTTAAGTGCACCCCTGAACTATTATCAGAAAACCAGTTGGAAATTATATCGTAATAGTATTATAGCAATGTCTTGGCTTCGCCCCAACACTACACTTAACGACTTAGGGGACACGGAGGGATTCGACCAGCCTGGTGAGGAAGACACCTTGTACGTCTTACACTTCAAAAACAACGTGTATAGGCGGGTGTCGTTATCAGATTTAAAAGAGCCTAAATGGTTGATCAACTTAACCCTCACCTCACCTTATATCACATTAAACAAAGATGGGTTTATCTCCGAGATTAGGAACAACGGTTTCTTGACTGGGGTTTTCATTCTGGAGTCTACTGCATATGTCCGGATAGGTAGTGTTGACCCCATACACACGTTAGATTCTCCAGCAAAAAATAAATTAACGTTTGTCAGCAATGCTGTTGGCCAATCGAAGTATATTGATAGAATATCCCTACGCTCCACACTCATCATAGAAGTCACCTTTTCAAGGATATCCCCGAAAGCTTCACCAGTACCACTTTTACCGGGGGTAGCAATATATTGGCGTGCCGAACACAGATACCAACATTGTCGTATTGTTATACGACGGGATACCCCAACAGGTCCTATAAACCCCTTAGTAAACCTCAGTGGGGTTTATGTTACAGCAGAGATACCTATTAGCCTATCACCTATTACCCTGCCTGATGGCCTACAACTTATAAGCTTCAAATACGTTAATCAACTATTAACTGAAACCCAATTAAAATATCTTTTGTAATATATATTATAGGATGGGCCTGTACCCAGTCGTAGAGGAAGTAGCGAAGACCCTGGAAACCGTAGACGGGTTCCGTTTGAGACAGTTATGTGATGTAAAACGCCAACTAGAACAAGACTGCGACACGCGTAAAGCACTGTGTAAGAAGTACCATAGAGCTTTCAATATCGTGGACGGGGCTGATACTGCCCTTATGGCAACCAGCATGGGGCTAGGAGCGACAGGTGTTGGGTTGTTAGCTACCATCGTGGCTGCCCCCGTAGTGCTAGGCATTGAAATAACAGCTGGGGTGGCAGGGGTGTTAGGGTTGGTGCTTAAGTTTGTATCCCGTAGACTACATCGTAAGGCATTGAAACACGACGAGATCAGGGTTCTGGCCGAAGCAAAGCTGAACACGGTAAGTGAGCGTATATCCACGGCACTCACTGACAGTAAGATCTCCGAGGAGGAGTTTCGTTCAATCCTCTCTGAACTCACAAAATATAACAAAATGAAACAAGAGATTCGATCCAAGTCTCGTAAGTCTGCTATCAGCGAGGACGAGAAAAAAAAGTACATAGAACAGGGGGTACAAAAAGCCCGGCAAGCCTTTATTACGAACACCAAAGAGATCATAGGCGATTCACATTAAACTGTTCCATCGAGGTCAACGTGACATAGCGGCACAATAGTGTCATAGCGGCACGTTAGACGCAGCCCAGTATTGGATGATACAATCCCAGGATAGACCCGTTAAACCAACATGCTTCAGCCATGTCCCCGGTAGCTCAGTTGGTTAAATGGTGCGGCTGTGAGGTGTAACATTGGGCGTTCGTATCCCGCTATCGTCCCAAACTTTTTCATAGTAGGGGTAATGGTAGCAAGAGCTAAGGGTCCGACCAAAGCCTTACTTGTGAAATAAGGCTTTGCAGAGGCTTTTGTTGGAACTGGTCCAAAACCCCCATTCCCTATACTACTGAAGCTCTTGTAATTGATTTATCTATGGAGTGTGATGAGGGCGGTTTGAGGGTCTTTAAGAACCTGACATGGGTTTTATCTACTTGCCCAGGAAGGATAAGACACCAAACTGTAAACACAGTCTTCTATTAAGATCTATTCATCATCATTCCAAATTAAAGAACAGAGCAAGTGCTCTTGACCTTGAGAGGTAAATTACTGATTTCACAATTTAGCTGTGTATATATTGATTGCTGGCGTAAGCTGCACATTTCACCCAACTTGGGAATCACTGCGTGAGGTTAATGTATGTATACACATGAAACATGATATTGAATTTTATACAACAATGTTTTGTGATTTATCTCACCATGTTCTTCACGTCTGTCACACCCGTGGCACTGCAATACACAACTCTTGCCTTTGGTAACATTCTGAAATAAACACAGAACATTGTAATAACCAGTACTACAATTATGCACCAGGACTAGTTTTTGGAAATCCATATGTTTATCAGTCAAGGCTTTATGAGTAAACCAAATTTTAGGCTAGATGTTAGTGACAAGTCCAGCACCAAATCTCACCTTTGTATAGATGTGACTGCTACAGCTATCTTTGTACTAGCTTGCTCCTTGTTCTGAAAACATTGATTCTTGGATAAACATAACAGATCAAATGATCTCATAAAATTAGCTAAAATACATTATGGATACACCCATTCTGCTGTTTAGTTCTGCCAAAGACGTATATACGTCTTTAGTTCTGTGAAGTGAGTGTCAATCATTAAAGAAGCTTTTATAATCATGTTTTTTCTGTACAAAGTGAGAAGTGACCCATATCAGTGTAGTAATCTTAACAGAAAACTCTATCAGACACCAGGACTGGTAACTCTGAAAACTTACCAGCCATTCCCAAAAGTTGCCATACCAATTTTAATTTCACATTTCAGCTCAGCAATAACAAAAAAACTATTAAGTATCTTTGCTTTCATATTTATTGAAATGCCCTACAAAAGAAACAGTTTCATCACAGTGCTTTGAAACAGGCAAGCAATAGTCTCAAAATTAGAGTTATCAATATTATGCCATTGTAGCAAGAATGTGTTTTCTAAGATGCCTAGCGGTTAGAACAATTGAAAAAAAAATACATTATCAGACAATAAAGGTATAGTTTTTTGATGACGTAACAATTGAATGACGTTATCCCGTCACTGCGCCATTCTAGTGTGCCCCCTCGTATAGTGTAATAAAACACACTTTCGCCCTGAACTATTATAACGTTAAAGCACTCAGATGCAGGCGTCCTCGTGCTTTAACTTTAATAGTTCAGGGCAAAAGTGTGTTTTATTACACTATACATGGTGGTAGAGCAAAGTGTATTTCTTAAACGTGTAACTGTAAATCATCCATAAGTTAACTGTCACACTCACATTACAAATATTTATCACATTCACAGTGCTGTGAAACAAACTTCAGTCAAAATTTAATCATCGGCGCTATCATCAACACACTCATCACTGTTTCCTTCAACCTCATGATCTGAGAAATCAGACTCATAGTCTGAATCACAGAGAGAGGGTTCTTTCGCAGCTTGATCTTCAGCAACAGGTTGTGTTCATCTTCAGAATCCTGTCCCAGTTGTGGAATTTCCATTTGCACATTTATAGACTTCTTAATATTGACCTTGTCCATTGGCAACTAAAGATTTCTGGAGATGTGCCAGATGTGAAGATGTAACATCTGCGGGGACCAGTGTAATTAATGTAAGTGAGGATGCACCAATACATTGTCTCGGCCTCGGCAATACAGAGACTGATAGATGTGTTTTGTGACATGCCGAACGGGAGGACCCCCATTAGTAGTGATCTGGAGAGCTGGTATCTGCACCGAGGGGTAGGTTCGCCGAATAGGGTAGCTCGTTAGCAGTGGAGATCCTATGATTGGTGGTTGGTAGCTGAGCAGAGTGTAGATACGATGAATGGGTCTCCCAAAAGGGTCTGGTTGCGAGCATATGTACCAATTATTCCACCAACCCATGAATCTTCGATTGGGACGACTAGGGGTGGAAGGTCGTGGAGTGGACAGTCATAGCTTACCGGATCCAGCTCCACAAGCTGCGTCCAGGTTCTGCGCACCTCTGTCGTGGGATGGGAGTTGTTTTCTTGTTCTAGGTCGAAAAAAGTTTCTGTTCCGAAAGGAATCTTGAAGTCGGGATTTGTCGGAATATACTATGCCCTTGTGGCTGCGTAGAACAGACTCTGGTACTTGCATCTTCTGTAGTTCTAAGAAGTTCGACCTAAACTTAGAACTGAGTATTTTGCTCCATATTGGTTGAAAAATCACGGATGAAATCGTTGACTATGTAAGGACTCGATCATGGTTCAAGTCAAAGTCCATGTCAAGGTGAAATTTTGTATCTCTGGAATGATCTCAAGAAACAGGTAGGTTCGGCTGCGTCACTCTAGTAGCCTGTGACGAAAAGGGTAGAGATGAGCGCCGAAATAGATAGAAATCTCTGAACTGGCATGGTTCGCCGAACTAGGGTGATTCTCCGAACTGAATATAGTTTGCCGAGTTTGGAAGGTTGGCTGAATGTGTGAGGTTTGTCGAACCAGCAAGTTTCGCCGAACCTAAGAGTCGGTTAAGAAGTGATATCGGAGCAGCTGAAACACTGAAGTCCACCAAATGATGATCGATGAAAGGAGGTTCGTAGCATTGGGATACATAAGTAGTGGGAGACTGATCCTGAAGGTTCGTCGAACGTATAGCTGAGAGACGCTAGGAAATATCTGGCGAAGGCAAGGCGGGGATCGATGCATCTGGAGGCTTTGTTGAAGGTTCTCTACGGCTCAGCAAACATTGGACCACTACCATCCGTGATGCAACGGTAGGTCTGACTTTCGGTGCAGTAGCATCTTCTGAGGGATGAAACAGTCGGTGGAGATTTTCACTAAAGTAGCAATCGGATGGATATCTAAAAAATCCACGTGCTCTGTGAGGGAGGAGTATGATCTCCAGGCCTTCTTCGTAGGTCTGTCTTTTAAACATTATTTTGGGTGCATACGGACCATCTCGTCAGGTTTATATCGGGTGTCCCCGCGAGGCATCGGGACTCCGCCTTCTTATAAATCACTTAATTGCTGTCATCCAGTCCCTGACAAAAACTGCCATACATCTAAGCCAATGCAGTCAATACATGAAGAATGGGGGTCGAACGTAGAAAAAACCTTCTTGCATTGTTGACAAATCTTTCTCTTCCTGGATTAGTCCAGGAGGAGGCAGCTGAAAAATTTGAAATCGTAGCCTCCCCAGTACTGATTTTGTTTGACACTATTTTCAGTTAGCATGATGTCTTGGGCTCATGAAAAGGCCTGTAATACTCTCAGATTGTGGTATCAGGTTTTTTTTACAGGCCTTTATATGTGGTGGGGGTCTGTGAGCATTTTCGCCACAAAGTTAATCATAGATATTATTACTACTATCAATCTGATCACATTTATTTTTACTTCTGAGTGTTGCTAAAGGATGTAAAAATTATTTGACATACTTTTTTTTTTTTTTAAAAAGAATCATAATCATTTTGTTTTGGCGTGTTTTGCCTTCTAAGAGCTTAGATTTACATAGAAATGAACACCGAATGTTTCCATTTATAACCGAAGTTGATACTTTTGATGTCTTTTTACACTTTTCTCTCCTAGAGTGATGTCTTCGGCACAAAATAAGTCATTTGTATGGTCATATCGTGGTAATAGTATGATTTACAGCTTATTCTTTGAGACAGGGGTATTTTAGCGTTTTTCCAACTTTTCATGGAATTGAGTTGTGGTGATGTATTTATTGAAAGTTATCATTATTTTTGTATCTCAAACAAGTTGTTTTTGTAGCCCTTTTGCTTCTAGAGTGATGGCATGTTATTAGAAATTTTAATATATTACCCAAAATTCAAAATGGCCGCCAAAATAACCGCCAGCCTCCTTGTTTGTACATTATGTTCCTTAAATGGACTATAATGGTTCTAAAGGAATAAAATATTTACTATATCTTTCTAAATTTTGATAAAAGTAAAGAAAATAAAAATAATTAAAATGGGCAAATTGATTCAATGACTGGGCCCTTCAAAATGGCTGCTTCACCTCACAAGGTTGCCACAGAAAACATTGACACTTTTGTAAGTATTCCTCTGTTTCTACATTGTGTTGTTGAAAAAAATCATGCTAAACTTTATGCCTCGTAATGGTGTCAACATCTTATGAGCATTGAAGCTGATATTGCCACATAATCTAATACTTTACTTGATAAAGTGGAAGGTTGTTTGTTTTCAAGGGAGATCACTCTTAACTGCACAGTCTTCAAGAGGGAGAAGTAATTGTTCTTATTTGAATCCTGATTTCAGCTCATGCATGAATTTTTATTTCAGTTGATGTGAAATATGGATGACGTTGACAACACAAATGAAGACTCATTTAGCATCATACCAGCAAAACGTACGTAGAAAACTGATTTCAACAAATGTGTAATATGTCAAATAGCCAACAAAGACTATAGGATTTCTACCCCTTCAGGATTACAAAGATTTAAAGAAATACTAGAACAGAGAAAAGATGATATATATATGAGAGACTTAAACCAGACTTTGAAGACCTTGATTCTCTTTCCATTATTTGGCATAGGAACTGTTATGCAGCATACACAGCTGCAAGGAATGTGGAATATGCCAAAAGAAGATCTAGTGATGTTTCTATCCCATCATCACAAGCTACCTCTTCAGATCAGCTTTCATCCTCCAGAATGTCAAGGTCTCAATCTAACGAAATGGATTGGTCAAATTGTATGTTCTGTAAAAAGAAAACTCACAAAAAAATAAAACAATTGTTTTCACTGTCAACATTTCAGGCATGTGACAAAATAAAAGATGCTGCCAAAGAAAAGTGTGACAAAACCCTTTTACTCCACATCGAAGAAGTTGACCTCATCGCCATGGAAGCCAAATATCACAAAGTGTGCATGAGAGTCTTTTAACCCATCAAGTAAAGATGTCAAAGACAGCCCCCAAAGTGTACTTTTTCATGCAGCACAAATTCTGAAAAAAGACTTACAAGAGAGTGAGGGAATTAATATAAGGCCTTTAGATGTTGAAGACGTTACCATGAAAAAAGGCCAAGGAGTTAGTTCCTCAGAGTCTTTACTGGCTGTTGAGACGGATCATGAGCAACGAATGTGATGTGGAAAGTTTTGGTAATACAAAGTCAGCCTGCAAAAATAAATCTGACGAACGCCATGTACTCATGCTTAGTCAGGACGTTGTTCACTGTGCTTCAAAGGCTAAAAAGAAAATGCCCAAACATGTTGGTTTGGCAATGACAGTACGGCATCTTACAGGTACAAAGCAAATCGTTACTTTACTCAATCGCATGGGGCATTGTACATCTTATGATGACATTGAAATAATTGATACAGCACTTGCATGTGAACTGTTAGCTGAACAGGAAAGCAATGGTATTGTAATACCAACAAACATTGTTCCAAATGTCTTTGTACAAATGGCCGCAGATAATAATGACATAATTGAAGAAAGTTTGGACGGTAAGAACACTACTCATTCAACAACTTTAGTTATGTACCAGAATGGTCAGTTTGG